TTAAAATTTGGTTATTTTAATACATGTCGGTTATTATAATATAATTATAGACTTCAAATATTAGAGATCATGGCTGAAGTACTAAAATGATTTGATTCATAAAAAATGATTAACTCGAATAGTTAATTCGTTAAATTAATAAGTTTGCATAAAAGAGAAAAAATGGATAAATTATTAAAAATACAAAGAAATGACTAATTAAATCATCTTAATTCAAAAGGTGAATATTTAGAGACCGGAATAGAAGAGGAGAACTAGGAGCGTCAGGACCTACGGTAAGTTTCTCTGCCAATCCAAAATGGTTTCCTCGTATTATATGCTTATTATGCATTATGTGATTAAGTGTGAATTGTGAATTATGAGTATGTGATTTTGAAGAATACAAATTAAGAGTACTTTTTGGGGAATTAAATATTTTTAAATACCTTTGAGACTAATTAGAGAGATTGGGAAGTATTTTTTTGAAGTATATCTTGATTCAAGATAAAAGTAAAGATTTCATAAGAGGTGAGCACCGCGGGAGAAATCCGCGGTGTCGGTTTTCCACATCCGGATAAATGTGGAGGGTGATTAGGGTTGCTACTACTAAGAAGTAAAGTTTGAGTTTGAAGTAATATTTGGATCTATGATCCCTTTTAAGAAGAAGTTATAGTAGTAGTCCCTAATCATTCAGAGATATCTTATTCAGGGGTAATTGGTAGACTGAGTCCCGATTACTCGTGACGACTTACTACTCGGGGGGCTTGGAATCCCTTTTTGGGGGTGTGCACACTTAAGGTAGTCGTCTCGTTTCCGCAAGAGCAGATGTGGTACCGGCACTTGTTCGGGGTGGCCGTCCGTAACCACGGTCCACCGGGCTCAGTCGAAAGGTTGAGCACCGCCCTTCTAAATTACTAGGAAGTTAGTGAAAAAGAGTTTTTTTTTTTTTTATGAGCAAAGAAGAAGAGAATTTTAATGGAGTGAGTTCTTTTTATATAGTATTATATGAAAAACTATTTTCGCCAAACCTGATTATTTTACGGGGTTGGGTAGTACTTACTTAGCTCTAAAGCTAATTTTTGTGCCTTTTCTTTGTTTTGCTTTCTGCACTTTATTTGTGCAGGTGATGATGCCCATGTTGACTGATGATTGTTTGATCCCTGAGAGCGGTTTAGATATGCTTTAGTTGAAACTTAGTCGAGATTAAAGACTTTACCTATGTTTTGAACACTTGTTTTAGTTTGTTTCATTAGGGATTGCCTGTGCACTCGGCTGTGTGTGGCCGGGTGTGGCGGTAACACTCTATTTCCCTTTTATTGTTAATTTCGCTGCAAACTTTTTCCCAATTCGAATAAATAAATGAAATTTTATCACTTTTAAATGTATTTTCGGGTGGGAAATTTGGGGGTGTTACACCTGCGCACACCATGGTTGTTTTAAATTCATAATTCAATTGTCTACAATGTTCATATCACATGGTATTGGTCATTGGGTATTATCCCACATGCAATGGGAAACGCCCTCATTCAAAAACTAGGTATGAAATAAGGATCGAACATGACCATCGAATACTATAAAAAGACAAAATTTCACTAGAAAATTGAGGTGGTGGGATACTTTGTTCGTTTCTTGTTTCAAGTAAATACTCCAAAATTTGTTTTTGTACGTGGTATTTGTAAACCATCGTCACAAACAACAAATCATGTGTTGCATCCTAATTGTAGAGTTAAAGAGCATAGTAATTTCTCTTGCATTTTCATAACTTATTGCATTCCCATCCTTTTAAATTATGTGACATAATGATACTTAAACTTGAAGATGAATAGGCACTTGTCATATGCATTTTTTATTCTTCCTTGCATCATTTTTTTAATTAGAGACATACACATAGTGTTAGATAGACAATACGTGCCAATGAAAGGAACTTATTAAATGCATATCATTGTTTCTTGGACTGTGTTAATGATGAGATACTAGCTAATTTTCCCAAAGATAGTGCTAGAAGGAAGACAGAGACTATAGTAATCCTCCTCTTATTGCTTCTAAGTTTGTCTCTTACCACTGAACATATGTTGTTAGAACATATGTTGTTATGCTGAAGGTTATGAAGTGCACCATCTTTGTCATCATGAAACTCTCTTGCATCCTTTTCTTCTACCATTGGTAATGATGTGTCTTGTTTAAGGTTATAATCTTTTGATATGGCATCATGATGATATTCTTCCTTTTTAGGACTTGAGCCATATATATGGTTTTGATTTTCACTTTCTGAATCACTATCACCACTTGAAGCGTCTCTACTTGCCATGTCATCGCTTGATGTATCACCATTTGACGTGTCACTGCTAGACCATTCACTGGTTGACGTGTCACCGCTTGACATATCACTACTTGACGTGTCACTATTGCCTTCACTTCCACATTGGCATTCTAGATAAATTTCCGGGGTTTGGGTTGGTATTTTGTTGTCTTCTTTCTTTGTATCGTGTTTTGATAATAAGAATAAATAGAGCTTATCTTCATGAAGCCTTGTTTGGGTGTAATCGGGTATACAATTTGTCTGTATGTCAAAATATTTAACAAAGTATGTATGATTGGTTGAACACATTCCTTTTACGAGTAACCATCTATTTGTGACTTCAATATTAATGTCCTCACGCTTGAACCCTATAATGACAAGCTCAAGGAAAAGATATACATAGTATAATGCATGGGTATTAGTTTAATTTGTATTTCATGAGAAAACTACCACAATAAGAGTGAGTAATGACAAAATTATCTAAATATGAGTAAAACATAACTAACTCCTTAAAAAATGACATTTTCTTCCTAGCCTCCTAGGATAGGGCTAATAAAGGCCGGTGTCATTATTTTCTTAGAATAAGGTTGAATCACTCTTATTTCGAGAAATTTTAAATGGTTTATTCTCTTAATATGACTAAATTAATTCTATTTTGATAATAATACGAAGTATATATTAACTTTTTCTATTTCTTACTTCATATTTTGAGCAATACATTTTCTTTTTTTCAATTGTTAAAACAAGGCATGCATGAATGTAATAATAAAGAGTCTTAAGTGATACCAGGAAGTGGCCAAATAATGATCCGACTATTAGTATTTGAAGAACTTTGGCGGTAAGTGTTGGGCTCCAACAATTTATAACTCATTGTCAAATGGATATAATAAACATGGCTTTATACATTCGCTTTTGTTTTAATCAAATGTGAAGACGTGGAGTATGTTATTTATACAAAGAAGAAACATTGTGCTTTTGAACAACAAGAAGAAAATTCTATTCTTTAATTTGCTTGAACCTAAAGTCTATCACACATGAGATTCCTTGTGTGTTGTTTCTTGCCTTGAGTTGTTATGTTATCTAACTCCTTTTCAAGTTTCATTAACAAGAAAATTTATATGGAATAGATACATGGCCATTTTTAGGAGGTGCAATAGGTGCTCGGCACCAGGGCCCACTCTTATAGATGACCTCCAAAAACTTAGAATATAGTATTAGTTATATGTTGATTTTTCTAGATGTTATGTGTTATTCAAGATTCCAAAAGTTATATAACTTCTAGATTCTCTAATTTGTGTATTTTAAATATTATAAAACTTATATTTCATTGAACTTTCCAGTCTATTTGTATTTCATTGTTAAATTTTGTATTTTTTCTTGTTTTAGGGGGCCTCAATTTGCCATTTGGAATCGGGGTCTCCAAATTCATTAGAAGACCCTGATTTATTTATTTTATTTTGTAGCTAGTGGAAATTTCTTATTCTGTAATGCTCAGTTATTTAAACATCGTAACTGAATTAATCTCGATCTATATTGTACCCTGCAAGTTATAATTCACTATCTTTTGAGTGACAGTAGATATAATATTGGTAGATAGGCATACAATATAATGTCAGATTGTAACTAGAAGGTGAAATAGTTGGTAAAGTAGTGATAAAGAAGAAGATTTCTATGACAACAAAAACAAGCATATGATGATTCTCCAAGAATAGAGAGAAAGTAACGAAGATGGTGTGTCAAAATAGTTTAATTGCATCATTGTTTAACTTTGTAGAGAAACTGAAGATCATTGGGGATGTGCGTGTAAATTTACTCCTCCATTTTTCTTCTCTAGTAGCTCATTGCTCATATCTTCATCCCCAACACAAAAAAAGTGGAATAGCCCACCTTAGCTACTCACACCCCGATTTGATAAAATGGCCTGGTGGATGGGTATTTCACGGTATGATATCAAACTGTTTTTAGAGAGGTGATTTAGGACCTGATGTGAATATGGAGCCACTATATTGATGAAATTTCCACACTGTCGCTGCTCAAATCAGCTACAGTTGAACTACTCGTGCGGATATTATATCCTTATCCATTTTTTTAGTTCTAAGATTTTATCTTATGTTAAAATTAGAAATGTTTACAGAATCATACAAAAGGACCGGTATTTGTAATAAATATGCATTATAGCAAAAGCATAAATAAATAGCATCTCCCACCTAAAGCCAAGTATAAAATTAAATATAAATTACTACGTATATAATGCACCAGTATGTACTCATTAATTATGTGTAGTCCAGGGATATTAGACAACATAATTGTCAAAACCTCCAATTTTTAATTTCAAGTGTTTTATTTTATTCATTACGGAGTATACGTTTGTGCTCAGATTACTTCAATGAGATTTATGTTTACATAGTGAGTTTTTAGTTGTGTTAAATTCTTATTACTATCATGTTCAATAGATAATATAGGGGTGTTTGGAACTGATTCTGCTTCTACTTCTTTTTTAAAGCAGTAGCGGAATCAGAATCAGTTTTCAGAAGCTGGTACCCCCAACTTCTAAAAAAACTGATTCTGAGAGTAAATTAGAGCACCAGAAGTGCTTTTGGAATTTCACCCAAACACTTCAGCTTCTGTTTCTGCTCCTGAAGGAGCAGAATCAATTGAGAATCAGATCCAAACACCCCCATAATACGGAGACTATAATATAAATATTGAGTATACCGTAACAACAAAATTTCAAAATACCTTGACTAAATGCAGCAAGAAAACAACATAGAAAGAGATGGAGATAAACACTTTGATTTTGATAGTGGGCCTAGTGGTACTTTAGAATAATAAAACAGAAATATAAACAAAAGGGGTTTTTATTTCAATATTACTAATTTTGAACCAATTACTAGAAAAGTGAGCACTTTTAAAAAGGGGCAAAAAAGTGATCAAGAAGGTCATATTAATGTCATTCTCAGATTTTAATGTCACTATTAGGGGTGGTTCGGTACGGTATACCAGTGGCGGACTTGCTTTGTTCAAGGGTGTTCACGCGAACACCCAAAATTTTGAAAATAAAATGTAAAAATACATGTATAGAATTGATATAATAATTTATGTATTGTATTTTTATATAACTTTTTTTACTCTTAACCCTTTTGCTAGTTTTTTGTTGTTGAAAAAATTATGTTTCTTCAATTGTGGGATCAAAAAACATTATTGTGTAATATTTTAACCATGAATTTATTCGAACACCCAACTTCCGGTTGCAAGATCCGCCACTGCGGTATACCGAATATTTTTTCTCAAACCTTTGCCGTACCAAAACTTTCGATATACAAAATTTATATACCGTTACCTTACCGAAGTTTCGGTATACCGAAGTTTCGGCACGGTAACGGTACGGTATCGGTAAATTACCATAGACTAATAATTTACACTAAATCGTTGTTACTAGCGACATATTTAATACATTATTAAAATGTTTCAAAATACAATTAATAATCTATGATGTCATATTCAATATTGAACAATAATTATTTTTAGTATATTTAAGTAGTTCAACATGCCACGTATTAAAAAGTAATACATTCTCCTAAAATAACTTGAATAATATAGATATAATTAAAATAATGTAAAGTTTTAAAATTAGAGTATTATGTTTTTCTCATAAAAAAGATTACGTTAATGTCATTCTGAAAATTTATTGTCATTTTTACCCACACGAGAACAAGAGTAGGATTATTCCTTCAAACATATCTATTTAAATTAAGTTTCTACTTAATTTTAAAGTCTGAATTTTGGAGTTTTGATTTTTGAATACTAGCATGAAAAATTAATTAGTTCAATTAATTGGACTATTGAATATTAAGCTGAAAAACCAATTAGTTCAATTGTTTGGGCTTTTGAATATTAGTCTGAAAAACCTATTAATTCAATTGATTGGGCTTTTTTATTATTATCTATTACAAAAATAGATAATAATCATTGTTACCCACACGGGAACAAGAGTAGGATTATTCCTTCAAACATATCTATTTAAATTAAGTTTCTACTTAATTTTAAAGTCTGAATTTTGGACTTTTGATTTTTGAATACTAGCATGAAAAATTAATTAGTTCAATTAATTGGACTATTGAATATTAAGTTGAAAAACCAATTAGTTCAATTGATTGGGCTTTTGAATATTAGTCTGAAAAACCTTTTAATTCAATTGATTGGGCTTTTTGAATATTGTCCTAAAAATTAATTAGTTCAATTCATTGCGATTTTGAATATTGGTCTAAAAAATTAATTAGGTGAATTCATTGGGTTTGATAGGTGAAAACTAGTTTTATTACACTAAGTACATATTTTAGAGTTTAAAAAAAATCGGTTTACCTGGTTTTCGAGAAACTAACCTAAAAAATGGTACTAAACATTTGGGTAACCGATAACTTTTTTTCTTTGACATTTCTATAATACCCCATTATTATTATAATACATTTTGATTTTTTTGCAATATACGCTATTTAATATGGAGTAAATTTTTGGCCCTACCTGAACGTAAATGCTAGATCCGCCCCTGTTCTCAAGCACCAAATTCAATTGATACAGCCAAAAAAAACTAAAATTCCTCCGATCCTTAAGGATGAGGACTAGCATAATAAATATTAACTAATCATTAATGAAGAGTACATTACAATATTACATGCATGTACATTGGGTTTGCGATTTCGTTTGAATAGATTCCTATATATTTATGTATATATATATTAAATGCCAGTATCTGATTAATCCTTATGAAGGAACAGCAAGGGAATCCAAAATAATATCAATAATTAAAAAAATGAATAAAAAAATTACAAAATGAATGCTTTTTTTCCAGCTTAGTTTCTGCTAGATTTTATCCTTTTCCTGGCTTGCCCAGATTCCTCCTCCGGCTCTGCACTTGTAGCTATGGGTCGTAGATTTGGTTCGTTGCTTGTGGATACATCCTCACCCTGATGAAAGATCAAATCTTTACTGGCCTTTTGTATTTGGAGCAAAACCAATCATAATTAGGGAAAATGGAAACTAATAATCCAACCTTTTAGCGGTCTTCTTACAATAATCCAACTTTTTGGTTATTAATGAATAATCCAACATTTGCACCTCATCTTCATTCACTGGTCCCTGACCGGTTGATGACCTGCTATTCCAAGCTATTTTCTTATCTTTGCAAATCATTATACTATAAATCTCATCTTTCACAAAGATAATATTTTGCAAAGATAAGAAAATAACTTGGAATAGTAGGTCATTAACCGACCAGGGACCAATAAATGAAGATGAGGTGCAAAGGTTGTATTATTCATGAATAATCAAAAGGTGAGATTATTGAAAGAAGACCGCTAAAAGGTTGGATTGTTAGTTTCCATTTTCCCTCATAATTATTCTAATCGGATCGATTAGAATAATCGGAAGATAACATTTGGGCTCTATTTTTTAGTCTAATCAGACCGATTATTTGTTCAAGCTTCATTATTTGCAATATCATACTCCGGATTAAGGTTGTAACTACTAGTAAAAGGTCAAAAAAAATCATTCCTGATGTATTTGACAAGTGTAACTACTGGAATGACTTATTAGCAGTTATCTAATAGATTTATATGTTTAATTAACATATTTTGAACAGAGTACGCTTTGCAAGGACTAAAATAGTTAAATCCACTAAATTGTTGAATTTGTAATTGAAATGGCTGAATTATCTGAAATATGATTTGAAAGATACTCATTCCATGCAGCCACAGTTAAAGAAATGAGATCTAAAAGAACCGATTTCATCCTTGTCAAACAAAAAAGTGAAGCAACTTCTGCCTCAATTTTTTCATTATGTTTGGCAAAACTATGGCATGTAACTTATAAGCCAAAAGGGATCTTCATGTACACAACAAATTTCATGCGGAGAGGTTGTTCAGGCTTTGAGATGAAGAAGAAAAGAAAAATATTAAATTACAAGGGGAAAGGTCCACAAACCTTGCCTGTGGACGCGGGAGAAGAACTCAATCTGCCATTTGCTCCCTTACCAAGGTCAATGTGAACTGAGATGCTGGCTTGTGAAAGATCCACACCAGCATTCTGAAGTGCTTGCGTGAGAGTACTTAATAACCTGATGGGAAAATGACAAAATGCATTTTTCATATTTATCACAACATAGAGTAACCCCACCATAGGTTAGAGCCTTTGCGGCATGGGTTGATGATGATTACGATGATGATCACAACATACAGTAAACTAGTAAACTTCTTAAGCAAATTAAACAAACAAGCCCCTATTAAATAATGGAATAGAGTGGAACATGCATGGAAACAAGGATGCTTATGTAGAACAGTGCAACACCGTCCAGCTTCTGAAGTGTCTGCTGCAAAGGGCTCCATTGCTATCCAAAATAGATGTTTGGAACCCACGCCTTTTTAGAAAGAATGTAGTATATGTAGACAAAAATGAGAATGAAAAGAATGGGTGAAAATAGAGGAGAGTCACAAAGTAGATTAATTTATAATACACATTCTTCATTTGATATATTTATTCCTAAACAAATCAAAATATTCAAAAAAAACATATGAAGGAGTTGATCTAGTCTCACTTTCCTTTAATTGTTTAGGTAAACCCAGACATAAGAAAAATAGCATTCCCTAGCACTTCTCTGTGATCCAAAGTCCAAACATACCGTAGGAGTGTGAGAATCTTACCCTTGTGAATAGATGCTTGAAATGCTGATCGTACCACTTTCAATATTCAGGTTCTGATCATTTGTTTTGTTGCTTGAGACAACATGGTTGAGTGGAGGAGGAAATTGAGATTGATGCCGTGATGACAGTTTATCTCTATCTGATGTCAGTTTAGGCAACGGCTGTGATGCTGCTACCTTACTGGTCCCACAATGATGGAACACGTTTGGATTGAATGGTAGGGGCACAGGTTGGTGATGACTAATAGTATCTTTTACCGAACACGTCTTTGCTTCTGGTTCTGCTTTCTGTCCGTTGATAAGAGATATCACTGGTTTGATATCAGCGAATCTTGAAGCATACATTAGGGCCGGATCAGACGCATTATTACTCGTCATATGTGAATGGTTCATGAAACCTTGAGTCCCCGTTTGGCATTTGCTCTGTTACACCAGAATTACAAACTGAGCACATTGTATATTCAGATGAAAGTACAAAAACCAAAGGCTTTTGGAACTAAAAAATGTAGTCTTCAAGCCTTTTTTTGTGTTTCCTTTCACCTTTGTAAGAAAGATGGAAAATTAGAACTAATTAACGCAACTTAAAATGTCCATAAATTTAAATTTCTTGGACTTTAATAGAAACACCTAAATGAAACGAGTTTGAAAAACTGTCTAAACTCTAAATTGATACATTGAGTTCTAGGCAATTGATACATTGTGTTCTAAAAAATGTCTCCCTTGGCATATTCTTTCTTTCCAAGTTTCCTCTCTCGATATTCCTCCATATATTGCAGTATTTTTGTAGCCCTTTTTGAGTTCCTAACCGACCGAGAGATGTACGAGAGTTAAAGAATAACATACCCATGGAAACTTTATTGGTTCATGTTCCCAGCCTTGGTATGATCCCTCGTACTTTTGCACTTTTTCTTGTAGGAACTGAATGTACTCGATGACCTGCATAGAAATTAACATTATAACTTTGCAGCCAACATTCATTTAAGTTTTAGACTTTGTAGGACAAAACAATCACTTGATGATGCTATGCACAAACCTCTAGCAAGAATGATGCTTTATCTCTCTTTTGGTCACTGTGTGGGATGATACCCCTCAACATCTGAAATCTGCAAAAGTAAGTAGTGATGTTATATATCCCACATAAACTTGTGCACTAGAATGATTTATTTGGAACTGTTAATGTATCTCACATAGTGAATTTACTTACGGAACACCAACTTCATAAATGATGAAATTTCTAATCTTAGGCTGTGAGAGGTATCACAGATTAAACACTCTTATATGCTGTTGGGATTATTAGAAAATAAAAAATAAGTCACAGCACTTCATAATAGACCAAAAATGAAATAATACCAGCAGCTTATTTTGAATAAAATGGATAACTAGTTGACTACTACATTCTTTTATATGTTTGTAAAACGTGCCTGTCATTGATTTTGCTCCTTCTCCGCTGTTCTGTTGCCGAGTGTTTGGAGCGCGGAGTATTTGGCTTCTGATTATTGCCTTTTCCAACAGATTTAACTGATATGTCTCCTGTGTAAGAAAATACACTAATTACAACAAACATAACAATAAAAACATTATGCAACTACATAAGTAAGACAAAACAAAACAGAATTGTGACAAACCTTTTGGGTGAGCTGATGGCTCTTTCTTGATGACAAAATCTTCCTCTTCTTCTTCCTCATCCTCATCTTGTGCACTTCTCGCTGACCCTAACATATTTAGGAAGCTCTGGTGGTTTTGAGCAGTCAATTGTCTGCAAAAATATCAGATAATTATAGGAGAAAGCAGTGGTGGAATCAGAGGTTTGGTGTGTGGAAGGGGCCGTACCAAAGGTTAAAAATTATTCCTATTTGTCCAAAGTATAATAAGAACAACAAAAATGCAATACATTAGCACAAATTATAGTTTACTACATTCTACATGGGTCATTCATGCAATATGGGTAAATCAATCCTATGAGTTTTCATATGTTGAAAATATCTCTTTCGATATAGCATACGAAGCAGCTCGTAAGAAAGTCACCACACTACTCATCATCCTATCGTGACAATGTATCTTGATAATATTCATCGCAGAGAAGGTTGTTTCAACTCTGATTGTTGCAACTGCTAACACTAAACCCCAACTAAATGGTACGATATACCAAGTGAAAAGGTTTGTGAATTCTAAATTCAACCATCTCCTTAGAAACTTCACCAATACTTGGCGAAGTAGAAAATGATTCATTTCCTCTCATGTCATATATTCAAATTTGGAGTTATTCTTTAAGCTCCATTTGTTCAACAGTTGAAAAAATCACATCAGTATAACCCCAAAAAATCAAGTAGCATTGATTGTGCATTTTACCACTTTTGACACATGAACATTATGTGCACTATACCAATATAGCGATTCCAATAAATTTCCTCTATTCAATGAGCTTTCTCGTTCATTATGAGTACGAAAAGTCAATCTTTGTGCAACTAATAATCTAATGATATCCACACTTGCATTCAAACGAGCATGATATGTCACACGCAATACTTGAAATACACACTACCTACACTTCTCACGCACTCTCTATAAATCTCAAGAACCTTCTTCCAACTAGTCCCCGTCTAGACGTCCGTTTAGGCACGGGACTGACGCCTAATGAGTGCCTAGCGCCTTTTAGAACACTGAGTAGTACTAAAAAATTTACCCAAATCAGCGGTGCTTGACCCCATGACCCCCCCCCCCCCCCAACTCCTCCACTGGGTGAAATAAATCTGTAGAAGAATTCCCCAATAATTATCTTCCCAGTCCCAAAATTATCTTTCGATTTACTTTTTTGTGGGGTTGTTTCTTTCCTTTTTACAATGATCATAGACATATAATTAAATTTATTAATTGTTGGTAGGGAAGAGTAATAAAATAATAAAAAATTAAAAAAAATGAATTTGTGAGACACAAATAAGATTGCCACTCACGGAGAGGATGAGAAGGAACTAAAGGTTCTTGAGCTATGCCTATGATTGGATGATGATTGTGATGGCCATTCCATCATTGCACTCTGCTGTCCTCCAGTGTTCAAACCGGTTTCTGTCCAATTATAAGTTCATAAGAGAGAAAATATTAGAGAGCACAACATTTGGCAGATCTTGAGGAGAAAGAAACATATGAAAATGCCTAAAACTTAATTACCTCCCAGAACATGTCTCTCTCCTGAAAAACTCTCCTTCCCTGTCTTTCCCTTGCTCATGACAGATTCATCCCAAAGGGTGAATCCACTCCCCGTATACGAACTGGAGTTTGAATTTTCATCGTTCATATCAGTACTACTTGGATGGGTCATAGTATATATGCTGCCCTCTGGCTTTGGAACCCCTTGCAAATGAGAAATGCTAAATGTCCCAATCCCACCTGGAAGGTTATTATGTTCCGTGGAAGGAGGATGTGCCAGCAATGGAAGCTTTTCAACCATTGGGACTCCAAGCTTGCCTTCTTCCTTCCCAACAATATTCTCTTCCAATGGTTGCAAGAAGTCATGAGTTCTAAGGTAACCTCCTGATATCAATATACGGAGTTTTAAGCAATGATAAGTTTTGAAGATTATGGGGGTGTTTGGAACTGATTCTGCTTCTGCTTCTTTTTTAAAAGCAGAAGCAGAATCAGAATCAGTTTTCAGAAGCTGGTACCCCCCAGCTTCTAAAAAAACTGATTCTGAGAGTAAATTAGAGCTCCAGAAGTGATTCTGGAATTTCACCCAAACACTCCAGCTTCTGCTTCTGCTCCCTGAAGGAGCAGAATCAGTTCTGAGAATCAGATCCAAACACCCACTATCTTGAAGAAAGTGAAGAAACTACGCAAATAAGTATTTTAATGCATACTATAAAAAATTCCTCAAAACAATTACACACATATCACATCAAATTGCTGTCCATTCATTCATTAAATGCTCACTATTTTTTAGCTTGGGAAATGATGGAATAAAGCAAAGTGGATCACTAAACTGTCTGCGCTTCTTTGTTTTGAAGTAGCAGTCAGTCCATGCAACAATTAACGTAATTTTCATCATGGGTCATCTGGAAAGAGCCTCTTTGTGCTTTAGTACGGGGTAAGGCTACGTACATTTGACCCCCTTACCTCACCATAGGTGGGAGCCTTTGCGGCACTGGGGTGATGATGATGATGAATGATAACAAAATTAAATCATGATTTTAATTACTAGTACTATATGTGTGAAATTTATAACTTTATACTTTTATTAAAGTATTTTAAATAAAGAACATTTTACAATTTATTTATCTAAATAATTTCGTATTAAAAGATATTGTTGATCAAACTTGATCATTATTGACCAAGAAAAGACAAATAATCAAGTTTTATGGAACAGGGAAGTATAATCTAACCATTCATTCCATCAATATGAATGCTTAAGATGTATTCTAATTGATAAAAAAGATGCATTCTTATTTTATTATTTGAACTAAAGTGTGTACGGACTTTTCCAAGCAATGTTCCATGTAACCCGTCAATACGTCATGTCATTATTAGAGGTATAATACTCCGTTTAGAAATTATTTTGATGTTTTTTTTAAACATTTTGATGTTTTATTAGGTCATTGTAAAACCGTTTTATTTATGTCATAGCTCATGCAAGACGTATCACTTACTACATTCGTGATTGTTTCATTTTTTTTCTTTTTGGTTCATCCTACGAAAATTGTCTCATACCAAATTTAGTAAAATTAGTGTGATTCTAAATCATTATTACTTTATTCTTACTTGTCAATTTAATATCAACCACATAAACTCGCTTTTATTGGTATGTGTGTTACTCCCTCAGTCCCTCTTGTACCATTGTTAGGGAGAGACGGAGGGAGTGTGTTCTAATTTTCACTATGCCGCCTCATATTTTTAGAAATACTACTACTATTATTTTCACTTACGGAGAATTATTGTTATTATTATTATTATTGATTTTTATTTTGTATAGTAATTTTATTATTTAGTTGAAAATCATTCTGACCCCAAAATCTTTTTGGTTTAAGACATAGATGATGTTGTTGTAGAAAATAATAGGGAGTAGATACATTTTATAAGCTCTGCCCTCTAACAATTGCTCCATTGGCTGAATGCATAATACGGATATCGTACAGAGTATATTTCCCGATCAATCTTTTAGTATTGATTTACTCATTGTTACCTGTTTTAGTGTTTTACTATGTCATCAAGTTACTATTTTATACACAAATGTTATTGCTACCTCAATTTGTACCCCATTTTGTACTCCCTCCCTATATTTGTGGTTCACAAAAGCAATACATTAAAATGGAGCAATTTATTTAATGTGTTGGACTTTTGTGAACCACAAATATAGGAAGGGTGTACAAATGAGGTACCAAATGAGGTACCTCTAGCACAACTCATTTTTATATCAACTCTTTATTTTTTGAGTGCATATCATGCTTATTTCTCAGCCGACAAAATAATCATATTTCATACTCCGTACATCATTTGTTCAAAAAAGGCTAAATTTGATGAAACATGTTTAGAGGTTTTCATGTAAATCACCAAGCTACTGGTTATAAATAGGTTAAGCCGACAAATAAATTTAAAAATACAAGTATGATTCAGTCAATCAGTCATGATTTATGACAGTTGTGTAGTCTTACCAAAATTAAAAAACATGCTAAAATTTGTAAATAATTGGGTTGAGGTCTGCTGAAAGTCCAAAAATATGGTCCTACCTAAGAATAGTCAGTTAGCCTAAAATTTGATCGGATGTGAAATTAGGATGTTTTCTTTTGGACTGTTTTCAGTCCCAGACCAGACCAGACTTAAACAGACCAGACCAAACCAGACCAGACTTAAACAGACCAGACCAGACCAGACCAGACTTCCGTAGTTATAAAATACACAGAGACCAGACGTTTACCAGACCAGACCAGACCAGTTCAGACCAGACCAGACCAGACTTAAACAGACCAGACCAGACTTAAACAGACCAGACCAGACCAGACCAGCAAATTTCAGTCCAAAAGAAAACATCCTTAATAGGCTAGAGCAGGTTAACACTCTTTTTGGATTCAGCACGGCCAACACTATAGCACCCCACAAACTATCTGGCCAAGATCCATACACCAATTCAGCAATCATCATTTCCGATCACGATTCACGAGGGCGTTAACTATTCTTAATTTCAGTTCACAACAAAAAACTATTCAGATTTTCTGTTGATTTGTTAGCACGAAAATCTCGTGATTTGGCTGTTTGTGCTGAAATTTCTGAAGTTCTGGCTGAAGTGGCTGCATTGGCTGATTTAAGAACAAATTATTTTAAAAATATATTTTATTAATAAAATAAAGAAAAAATTATATGTAAAAATAGCCAAAATGGTCATCTACAGTAACTTCAACCAATACAGCCAGAAAAATAACTTCAACCTTATTTTTTCTGCTTATTACACAATTCAGCGCGCAAAAGCAAAAGTTACGTGTTTGGTAAAAAAATTGGCTGATAAGCCTGATAAACCGAAAAACAGTGGTTCCATACGGCTTCTTAATTTTAGCTCACAACAAAAACAAAAGTTAAAAACTCATTCCAAAGAAAAAGCAATACTCCGAACTCAATATCACCAAAACTAGGGTTTCAGTGTCAAAAAACAAACTTATATCAAGGGGAAAAAGATTTGTTATATTGCCTCTGTTTACGTACAGGTATTTCCTTAATTTTCTCATATTTTAGAGAATTACACATTAATAATTAATAGAGGTACACAGAAGGATCCAAAAAAAATCCTAAAGTCATAGCAATTGATTTTCTCAAAGGTTCCAAGAATTTATTTCTCTCTTTTTAGAAAAGGGAAAAGGTGCAAATAGGCCCATGTACTAACCAAAAAAGGTCAAATAAGTCCTTATTTAGGAGGCTCTGTCCGGTGATCGCCATTTAAAATGGTTCCCGGTGGAATTTTTTGATGAAACTTTTTGAGCATCTTATACATCATGTCTAGTTTACTCATACCAAATTTCAGCTAAAACTTCAATAGGGAAGACATTCAAATGAATTCTTGAAAATAACTATGCAGTTAGAAGCGCAGTTATCTTCAAGAATTCACTTGAATGCCTTCCCGATTGAAATTTTAGCTGAAATTTGGTATGAGTAAACTAGACTTGATGAATAAGATGCTCAAAAAGTTTCATCAAAAAATTCCACCGGGAATCATCTCAAATGGAGATGACCGGACAGAGCCTCCTAAATAAGGGCTTATTTGACCTTTTTTTGTTAGTATATGGACATATTTGCACCTTTTCCCCTTTGAAAACAATCTAATCTAAAATTGTTATTGTACCCCGTATAATATTACTACCGTACCAAACCCTTAACTTTTTCAAACTGGTACGCATATTTTCGTAAAGTGTGTGAAATGATTAATGGGATAAATAATTGGGAATAGATGGAGTACCCAAATGTTTTTAATGGGATAAATAATTGGTCGGTTGAATCTAATATGATCTGATTTATTTGAGGTTAATTTAATATATTGTATTTTACTATTGACTACGTCTGTCCGATATAGCGCGATGCTGTCTATTACGTCTAGTCGGGTTATAATGTTGTATTCTGATTTGAAACTCAAATTTGACCTTGAAATATGAAAATATGATTGAAAATCAAATAAATATAATTACCGAACAAATAATTTAAATATAAATCTGGTCTAATATGAAATTGAAATTAATCTAATTTAAAATATCCTAGATTTCAATGCACTTTAGAAATAATTGAATTTTAAAAACTCCGTACTACAGTACGAAATACTCGGTAACTAAATAGTTTTAGGGGATGACTAAAGCTAAGATTAAAGCATAGCATTCTTTTAACAGAAATTGCACTAAGGATGTTTTCTTTTGGACTGAAATTTGCTGGTCTGGTCTGGTCTGGTCTGGTCTGTTTAAGTCTGGTCTGGTCTGTTTAAGTCTGGTCTGGTCTGGTCTGAACTGGTTTGGTCTGGTCTGGTAAACGTCTGGTCTCTGTGTATTTTATAACTACGGAAGTCTGGTCTGTTCGGTTCTGGTCTGTTTAAGTCTGGTCTGGTCTGGTCTGGTCTGGTCTGTTTAAGTCTGGTCTGGTCTGGTCTGGTCTGTTTAAGTCTGGTCTGGTCTGGGACTGAAAACAGTCCAAAAGAAAACATCCTAAATAGGAGTAAAAACGTTTTAAAATTCCAAAATAGGAGTATCATGTTTTTTATTCCCTGAATAGGAGTAATCTACCAAGTTTGGAAGAAAATGCCATGTTTAAAAGCCTTGTAATGCCAAACTTGGCAGAAATTTACTCCTATTTAGGGAATAAAAAACATGATACTCCTATTTTGGAATTTCAAAACATTTTTACTCCTATTTAGGGAATTCTCTCTTCTTTTAAAAACATGACCATATGTTTAGTTTTTCTTAAATAGGACTAATCATTCTATTTTTTACCCCCAATTTGATTAGTGAAATAATTGACCTTATTGGTTCCCATGGTTTCCTTGCATAATCAAAGTCGTTCTGTTGATAGCGGAT